ATTCTTGTCAGCAAGTTGAGGAAGTATGGGCTGGATGAATGCACTACAAGGTGGGTAGAAAGCTGGCTAGATTGTCGGGCTCAACGGGTAGTGATCAATGGCTCCATGTCTAGTTGGCAGCCGGTATCAAGTGGAGTGCCCCAAGGGTCGGTCCTGGGGCCGGTTTTGTTCAATATCTTCATAAATGATCTGGAGGATGGTGTGGATTGCACTCTCAGCAAATTTGCGGATGATACTAAACTGGGAGGAGTGGTAGATACACTGGAGGGGAGGGATAGGATACAGAAGGACCTAGACAAATTGGAGGATTGGGCCAAAAGAAATCTGATGAGGTTCAATAAGGATAAGTGCAGGGTCCTGCACTTAGGACGGAAGAACCCAATGCACAGCTACAGACTAGGGACCGAATGGCTAGGCAGCAGTTCTGCGGAAAAGGACCTAGGGGTGACAGTGGACGAGAAGCTGGATATGAGTCAGCAGTGTGCCCTTGTTGCCAAGAAGGCCAATGGCATTTTGGGATGTATAAGTAGGGGCATAGCGAGCAGATCGAGGGACGTGATCGTTCCCCTCTATTCGACATTGGTGAGGCCTCATCTGGAGTACTGTGTCCAGTTTTGGGCCCCACACTTCAAGAAGGATGTGGATAATTTGGAGAGAGTCCAGCGAAGGGCAACAAAAATGATTAGGGGTCTGGAACATATGAGTTATGAGGAGAGGCTGAGGGAGCTGGGATTGTTTAGCCTGCAGAAGAGAAGAATGAGGGGGGATTTGATAGCTGTTTTCAACTACCTGAAAGGGGGTTCCAAAGAGGATGGCTCTAAACTGTTCTCAATGGTATCAGATGACAGAACGAGGAGTAATGGTCTCAAGTTACAGTGGGGGAGGTTTAGATTGGATATTAGGAAAAACTTTTTCACTATGAGGGTGGTGAAACACTGGAATGCGTTACCTAGGGAGGTGGTAGAATCTCCTTCCTTAGAGGTTTTTAAGGTCAGGCTTGACAAAGCCCTGGCTGGGATGATTTAACTGGGAATTGGTCCTGCTTTGAGCAGGGGGTTGGACTAGATGACCTTCTGGGGTCCCTTCCAACCCTTATATTCTATGATTCTATGATTCTAAGATTCCCAAACATTTCACTCCAAACTCACTGGTTTAGATCAAAACATAAAATAAGTTTATTAACTACAAAAGATAGATTTAAAGTGATTATAAGTGATAGCAAACAGATCAAAGCAGATTACCTAGCAAATAAACAAAAGCACAATCTAAGCTTAATATACTAGATTGGATATTAATAGCAGATTCTCGCCCTAAAAATGATACAAGCAGGCTGCAGATTCTTAAGGGGCAAGCTGCACTTGCTTTACAGCTTGGAATCCCCAGGTCTTTCATACACAGGCTAGAAATCCCTTTAGCCTGGGTCCAGCACTTCCCTCAGTTCAGTTTTTGTTCCTCAGGTGTTTCCAGGAGTCATCTTGTGTGGGGAGTGAAGATCCCCAGATGATGTCACTCCCTGCCTGATATAGTTTTAGTATATGGTGGGAACCCTTTGTTTCAAAGCTTGGTTCCCAGGTCAGTTTGTGGAAAAGTACTGACATCCCAAGATGGAGGGCAGCATCATGTGGCCTGGTCACATGTCCTTGTAGAGTCATAGCAGCCATTACTTACAGCAGTGGTGGGAAACCTGCAGGCCGCATGCAGCCCATCAGGATAATCCACTGGCAGGCCACAAGAAGATTTGTTTACATTGATCGTCCACAGTCATGGCTGCCTGCAGCTCCCAGTGGCCGTGATTCGCTGCAGGGACATGCTGGCCACCGCTTCCTGCAGCTCCCACTGGCCAGGAATGGCGAACCACGGCCACTGGGAGCTGCGGTGGGCCATGCCTATAGACAAACAAGATCAGCAAAATGTCTCGTGGCCCACAATCAGATTACCTGATGGGCCGCAGATTGCCTGGCTAGAGGGAATACTATTCCTTAAAAATAGCTTTATCATGAAAAAGGGAGCCCTTCCATCCTATCAGCCTGTTAAAGTAATAAAACCCCATTTCTCCAGGCAACATTATAATTATTTCGTTAGAATCCCACAGTAGGTTACCCTGAGGATAGAAGTGCCTTTTCCTGCCAAAACATTAAAATTGGATCAAAGGTTAGATAACTATCTCCAAACCTATTCTCCTCCTCTGCTCTGTAAAAATCTCTGCTTGACCAGGCATACATCATAACCCAAGAGTGTCACACTCTAGACAACAGCTTTCTGTGACTAAAACAAAATATGGTTTAAGTGACTAAAATACTCAGGCATGCTCATTAGGAAGAAGGCAATTTTAGCTACAGCTTGGTTTTATCTAAATGACCTTTGCATTTAAATAACCAATAGCAGTTTGTACTGCAAGCATGAGATGATAGGGTGAGGTGGAAGGCAAAAGGGCATGTGAGAAAGCTACTTCTCTAATAGAAATAATAGTGTTAGCATGTGCTATTGCTACCATTCTCGTTACTTTTACATACAAATCATAGAATCATAGAATATCAGGGTTGGAAGGGACCTCAGGAGGTCATCTAGTCCAACCCCCTGCTCAAAGCAGGACCGATCCCCAATTAAATCATCCCAGCCAGGGCTTTGTCAAGCCTGACCTTAAAAACTTGTAAGGAAGGAGATTCCACCACCTCCCTAGGTATCGCATTCCAGTGTTTCACCACCCCCCTAGTGAAAAAGTTTTTTTCCTAATATCCAACCTAAATCTCCCCCACTGCAACTTGAGACCATTACTCCTTGTTCTGTCATCAGCTACCACTGAGAACAGTCTAGATCCATCCTCTTTGGAACCCCCTTTCAGGTAGTTGAAAGCAGCTATCAAATACCCCCTCATTCTTCTCTTCCACAGACTAAACATCCCCAGTTCCCTCAGCCTCTCCTCATAAGTCATGTGTTCCAGTCCCCTAATCATTTTTATTGCCCTCCACTGGACTCTTTCCAATTTTTCCACATCCTTCTTGTAGTGTGGGGCCCAAAACTGGACACAGTACTTCAGATGAGGCCTTACCAGTGTCGAATAGAAGGGAACGATCACATCCCTCGAGGGGAACGATCACATCCCTCGATCTGCTGGCAATGCCCCTACTTATACATCCCAAAATGCCATTGGCCTTCTTGGCAACAAGGGCACACTGTTGACTCGTATCTAGCTTCTTGTCCACTGTAACCCCTAGGTCCTTTTGTGCAGAACTGCTGCCGAGCCATTTGGTCCCTAGTCTGTAGCGGTGCATTGGATTCTTCTGTCCTAAGTGCAGGACTCTGCACTTGTCCTTGTTGAACTTCACCAGATTTCTTTTGGCCCAATCCTCCAATTTGTCTAGGTCCCTCAGTATCCTATCCCTACCCTACAGCGTATCTACCTCTCCTCCCAGTTTAGTGTCATCTGGAAAGTTGCTGAGGGTGCAATCCACATCATCCTCCAGATCATTTATGAAGATATTGAACAAAACCAGCCCCAGGACCGACCCTTGGGGCACTCCACTTGATACCGGCTGCCAACTAGACACGGATCCATTGATCACTCCCTGTTGAGCCCGACAATCTAGCCAGCTTTCTATCCACCTTATCGTCCATTCATCCAGCCCATACTTCTTTAACTTGCTCGCAAGAATACTGTGGGAGACCGTGTCAAAAGCTTTGCTAAAGTCAAGGAACAACACGTCCACTGCTTTCCCTACATCCACAGAACCAGTTGTCTCGTCATAGAAGGCAATTAGATTAGTCAGGCATGACTTGCCCTTGGTGAATCCATGCTGACTGTTCCTGATTACTTTTCTCTCCTCGAAGTGCTTCAGAATTGATTCCTTGAGGATCTGCTCCATGATTTTTGCAGAGACTAAGGTGAGGCTGACTGGCCTGTAGTTCCCAGGATCCTCCTTCTTCCCTTTTTTAAAGATGGGCACTACATTAACCTTTTTCCAGTTGTCCGGGACCTCCCCTGATCGCCATGAGTTTTCAAAGATAATGGCCAATGGCTCTGCAATCACATCCGCCAACTCCTTTAGCACTCTGGGATGCAGCGCATCCGGCCCCATGGACTTGTGCACATCCAGCTTTTCTAAATAGTCCCGAACCACTTCTTTCTCCACAGGGGCTGGTCACCTTCTCCCCATGCTGTGCTGCCCAGTGCAGTAGTCTGGGAGCTGACCTTGTTCGTGAAGACAGTGGCAAAAAAAGCATTGAGTACGTTAGCTTTTTCCACATCCTCTGTCACTAGGTTGCCTCCCTCATTCAGTAAGGGGCCACATTTTCCTTGGCTTTCTTCTTGTGGCCAACATACCTGAAGAAACCCTTCTTGTTACTCTTAACATCTCTTGCTAGCTGCAACTCCAGGTGTGATTTGGCCTTCCTGATTTCACTACTGCATGCCCGAGCAATATTTTTATACTCATCCCTAGTCATTTGTCCAATCTTCCACTTCTCGTAAGCTTCTTTTTTGTATTTAAGATCAGCAAGGATTTCACTGTTAAGCTAAGCTGGTCGCCTGCTATATTTACTATTCTTTCTACACATCGGGATGGTTTGTCCCTGTAACCTCAATAAAGATTCTTTAAAATACAGCCAGCTCTCCTGGACTCCTTTCCCCCTCATGTTATTCTCCCAGTGCCAACAAGACACTTTAAGCAGTCTTAAGATGCTTGTGTAGCATTCTTGTAAAATGTCCTGTCCTGGCTGCAGAGGATTGCAGCGTACAATTGCTCCCGCGAGCTAACATTTACTCCTTTAGCTCGGAATAGCCAGGGGGAATGCTGGCTATTCCAGGTTCAAAATTTCACTGATGACCCTTGAGGATGGGGGATTTACGTGCAGATGGCAGCTTGCACTTACAGCTGGAGGAAAGGGAAGCAACTCTTAATTGATTAGAGGGTTAAAAAAAGGATCTCAGAATACAGTGATTTATGTCTATTGTAAAGATGTTTCTACTTTTATTTATTACAATTATTTTTATTATCCCATAGTGTTCATAGGGAAAGTACTGAAGAGGCTCTTCGCTGCTACTCCCTCCACTTCTCATGTGCCTGCTCCAAGTGGAGAAGAGATGGTACTAAAAAATCCCACATCAAAACCACAGCAGAAGGATTCTGAGAATACTCAGGCTTCATCAAACTGTGCCAGTTCGGCAGGTAATGTAATCTGCTAATTACTGCAATGTGAAAATACTTGGGTTTTGGTCATTGTTTTTAAAGAGAAAAAAGTTATATATGAACGCATAGTGCAGAGCCTTGTCCTATGTATGCACTGAGCCCCAAATTTTAAACGCAAAATTACTTTTGGGTTTACCCATCAAGTTCCCTGCAGTGCATACCATTCGGCATCTTGATCAAACTAAATTTTTCACTGACAAAAAATCCTTTGTTAATGCAAAGTTAGAGTTGCCTGGTGGTATCGTATGTCCTTCCAGAATGTCAAGTTCAGCAAGACTCAGAAGTCTGAGAGTTAAGGTATGCACCAGAGCAACCTTGATTTTTGTACATCCTGGTTTTCAGAATTCTGAGTTTTGTTGAACTTGAAATTCTGGAAAGGCACATGATTCTACCAGGCAACCTTAACTCTGCACTAAGAAAAGGATATTTTGTTAGCGAATTTCCTAACTTTTTTTTAAACATAAAAATGCTCTTTGTAGGAGTTCTTTATTCGGACAGCTGTAGTTATTACAGAGGTGTACGGTAAAGATGCTACTGTGACCCGCTAAAGGCCAAAGATGCAATGTGATTCCTAAGTGGTCTGTAGTTTACCCCGCAGTATGTTTTGTTATAATGTAATGGTTTGTACTTTGAAATGTTAGGAGTGTGGAGTGGCTGACAGGACAGGGAGAGAAACTGCGCATTGACTGTTACGGAATGCTGATAGACTTTCTGTTTTGGTTAAGCATGTGAGAGAGCACTGTGTGTGTCCTTCTCTACACAGAACCTTCCCCATATTTCCAGCTAACCCTCCCCTTCCTGTCTTGCAAATCATTATACTCTAGAAGCAAAGTTGTCCATTGCTGTTTGGTGCCCATTGCTGGTGCAAACAAATCATAGGCAGCACTTTTCTTTGCTACATAAGCTGAGCTGTACATTGAGCTGCTTCCCATAGAGAGAGGACTGTGCTGGACTGGCGGAGAGAGGAGGTGGTGATGGCAGAGGCAGTGAAGGGATTAACATGCATCCAGGGTAATCATTGCTCTAGCTAGGCTCACCCACTTAATCTCCACTCCTGACCAGCCTGCCTGTCCACACAGGGAAGACATGTACCTCAACTTTGTATTTCCTTGGTTAGCCACTCTCCTCGTTCTGGAATGCTACTAGGCGCCACTCTTCAGCCTAAACTCAGTGTCAGTTATGTTTTAGAATAATTATTCAGAACCCACACTTACCACAGCCCAGTTCTCCTCTTCCACTGCTTTTGCTGTCCTCGCCTCAACTCCCCTCTCTCTGCCAGTCATGGTGGATAATCATGAGTTTCCAGTGCAACACTGTGGCTAAAAAGGCTGTGATCCTTCGATGTTGTAACAGGGTGGCCTTCCCCTTCAAAGGCTGGAGGCCTGGGGGCAGCCAGCCCTGTTTATTTACCCCGTGAACATGAATGAGGGTTATGCTGTACTCCACGAGCATGTATTTGTTAACTCATGAACTAGTGGTCTTCCAACTATGCTGTTCTTTGGACATGTGTACTTGTGCTTAAGTGACAAATTCAGCAAAAAAAAAAAAGTTTCAATTTAGTGTGACAAACATATTTTTCCTCTATCAAAAAGTATGTGGGTAAAATGTACCCCAAACATGTTGTACTGTTATCCTGTATTTTTAGTAGTTCTATATACACTTTTGCCTCTAAGAGAGTATCTTTTATTGTAATAGTGGTGACTGTCTTCCTCACTAGCAAGCTGTTTTTTAACATAAATGTAACTTGCATATGACGATTAATAAAGTATATGTGGGGTAATGTGGGTATGTTGCAATAACTCATGAACTAGTGGTCATCCAACTATGCTGTTTTAGGACATTGCATATACTAACTGATAATGAATTGCAGTGACGGTAGTTGCTGCATACAATTACAATAAGGTAGAAAGTTCTCCAAGGATGTATGAAAATTGCATATTGGCCCACGCTGAATGAGACTCCTGCTAGTTCTTTCAATTTCCTAGTTAAATAAGGTCTTGTTGTGTTTTTTTCATCATAAACATTAAAGAAGTATTCTTCCCTTCTGAATACACTTGCTGGACAGTCCCCCACAGCATAATTGATCTAACTTTCTTTTTTTCTCAACACTGGATGAAGATTAATCAGATGAGGCTGAGAAGGGGACAGCTGTTGGCTATAAAGAGTTGTGGGGGGATGGAGGGAGTAATACAGAGAAGCCGCAGGAAAGAACCATCTATTGCTGTGGCCCTGCGGAAGACAGACTGGATGGGAAGTCCTAGGACTGAAGTAGTGGCTGGGTAGAAAGCCCTATCTGGAAGTTTTTTTTCCTTTGTGAGTTTGTGGTTGTTTAGCCTTTCCCTCCAAGCTCCAATTTTTATCTAAAGTATCATTTGGGTGTGGCTAATTCCCCAGGCAAGTGAGTGAGATTGGTAGTGTACAGATGTATAAGCAGGGGAATCATGTATGAATAGAGGTCTATATTAGCTCCCTTAGCAACTGCTCCTGGAAATCCAGTTCTGGTGTCCGCAATTCAAGGATATGGATGAGTTGGAGAGGGCTCAAAGGGCCGTGAGGTGGATTGGAAAACAAGCTCCTCAAGTCTCTCATTATAAGGCATAATCTACTTACCTTAACAAAGAGAAAGTTAAGGGGTGACTTGAACAGTGTCTGTAAGTACCTATATGGGTGAAAATATTAGATAATAGAGGGCTAGCAGACAAATGTATAACAAGATCCAGTGACTGGAAGTTGAAGTTAGACAAATTCAGACTAGAAATTAATATTAGCCAAGATGAGCAGGTATGGTGTCCTCTGTTTGACAGAAGCTGGAAATGGGCAATGGGATGGATCACTTGATGATTATTTGTTCTATTCATTCCCTCTGAAGCACCTGGCATTGGTTGCTGTTGGAAGACAAGATACTGGGCTAGATGGACCTTTGGTCCGACCCAGTATGGCCGGTCTCATATTCTTAAATAAGGTGCAAACTTTTAACAGTGACGATAATTAAACATAGAAACAATGTAACAAGGGTATGGTGGATTCTCAATCAGTGGAAATCTTTAAATCAGGGTTGGATTTTTTTTTTTGTAAAGGATGTGCTCTAATTCAAACAGTAATTAATTCAGTGAAGTCCTATGGCCTATATTATACAGGAGGTTGGACTGGATGATCACAATGGTCCCTTTTGGCCTTATAATGTGTGAAACTGTTTGCCGCTTACTGCTGACCCTCTATTCTCTCTCTCTCGCATGCACGCACACACAAACTAGTCAGACTCCCTCACCACTGCTCCAACATTCTGTTCTCTTGCCACCCCAACCTGAAGCCTTCCACATCTCTGCCGCCTCCCCCATCATGGAATTCAGTCTCTGCAACAAGGCCTTCTTGCAGTGTGGAGGAGGGGGAGAACAGTGCTATAAAGGTGACTGAAATGGCTCACCAGGCATTCAGATTTGTTAGTTGATCTCGGCCTAATTTTTTTTTCTAGTCTCGATTAGGAACTTCCAAATAATATTTGGCATGGTCACTGACTAAAGTGCTTTATATCTTCAATGTCCTTTACAGATATTAACTACTATTTAAAAGAATCCTACAATGTTTGTGAGTAAATATCTTCATTCTCCAACTGGGTAAAACATGAGGCATATAGAAGTGATTTATCTCGCTTTGTCGATGGCAGAACTGTGATTAGAACTGAGGCGTTCTAGCCCTGAGTCCTTTTCTTATACCAGGCTGCAATTCAAAGCTAACACCTTCCAAAAAGATGTCTTGTTCCTATGTAAAATAGTAGGTAATTTCACATGGACACGAATCTGTCTCTTCTGAAGACTGTTGCTGTGTTTCCTTTAGACTTCATGCATGAACACAGGCTCTTTTTTTTTAAAAATTACCTTCTCGTAGAATAAATGTTTCTCTCTAAAGCCTATGAATAAACTTCTCTGACTAGAGTTTCCTAAATGCGCAAGAAAAAAAGCCCAAAACACAACAATCCCCCTTTCTGGGAGTGCAAGCATTGATATTTGCCCACTTTATGACCAATAAATCCTAATAATGACTTGTTTCAGAGTAGCAGCCGTGTTAGTCTGTATTTGCAAAAAGAAAAGGAGTACTTGTTACACCTTAGAGACGAACAAATTTATTTGAGCATAAGCTTTTGTGAGCTACAGCTCACTTCATCGGATGCGTTCAGTGGAAAATACAGTGGGGAGATTTATATACACAGAGAAAATGAAACAATGGGTGTTACCATACACACTGTAAGGAGAGTGATCGCTTAAAATGAGCTAATACCAGCAGGAGAGCGGGGGGGGGGACCTTTTGTAGTGATAATCAAGGTGGGCCATTTCCAGCAGTTGACAAGAACGTGTGAGGAACGGGGGAGGTGGGGAGGGAGGGAGGAATAAACATGGGGAAATAGTTTTACTTTGTGTAATGAGACATCCACTCCCAGTCTCTATTCAAGCCTAAGTTAATTGTATCCAGTTTGCAAATTAATTCCAATTCAGCAGTCTCTCGTTGGAGTCTGTTTTTGAAGTTTTTTTGTTGAAGAATTGTCACTTTTCAACAAAAAAACTTCAAAAACAGACTCCAACGAGAGACTGCTGAATTGGAATTAATTTGCAAACTGGATACAATTAACTTAGGCTTGAACAGAGACTGGGAGTGGATGTCTCATTACACAAAGTAAAACTATTTCCCCATGTTTATCCCTCCCTCCCTCCCCACCTCCCCCGTTCCTCCCCCGTTCTTGTCAACTGCTGGAAATGGCCCACCTTGATTATCACTACAAAAGGTCCCCCCCCCCCCCGCTCTCCTGCTGGTATTAGCTCATCTTAAGCTATCACTCTCCTTACAGTGTGTATGGTAACACCCATTGTTTCATTTTCTCTGTGTATATAAATCTCCCCACTGTATTTTCCACTGAATGCATCCGATGAAGTGAGCTGTAGCTCACTTCAAGCTTATGCTCAAATAAATTTGTTCGTCTCTAAGAT